CTGTATTAAGATATTTATAACCCAGCAATCCTATTCTGCTTGTGTTTTGTTATATTAGGGTGTATCTCAGAGGTGCGATGCCATTGGGGCTCACCCTCTTGAAACTGTTATCTGTTGCCTTATTTTTTGGCAAATGAAACCCGGGAGGTTGAGCCTACAGGGAAAGAAATTATAACAGGGATTTGGGGGAACTGGGGTCTAGAGGGGTGGGGAGATAGGAAGGAGATGATGTCAAGAAGTCCAGGAAGGAAAAGTATGTTTTGGAAGCCATATATGATTATGGAAGAAATTACACAATTATGTCTGACACGATTGAATTATGGAATGATATGATATATGCATTTGCTCTCAAGTTACAACAAAAAACAATTAAAAATCATAGATACGGGGTTGGGTTTTGGGCTTGCATTAAATCCTAGCTCCAACTTATGAACAATTTGTTCTTACATCATGAAACTGCTACATACCTTCATGAAATGATCACTGAAGATAAGGATGCTACAGCAAAGTGCGGTGAAGAAACCAGATGGTGCCTGGCTATCAATCAGATAGTGTCTGGGGTCTTAAAGGCTTATATTCAAGCAAGCAGCCATCTAAGCAAAGAGTCAACTAAGTCCACATGGAAGAAGTAAACCAGCTTGTGTGATCCAGAGATAATAATTACAAAATTCAAATATGGTGAGGAGTAAAGCATCAGAGCAAAAATTATGAACACCCAGTTTGTGGAGGACAGTGGGAACTCCAAACCCATCTGTAGAGTCTCTAGTCAGGCTAACTCACTGGCAAATGCACTCTAGCCACAGGCAAGAGTCTCAAAGAGTCTTACTAACAAGGCAAAGGCCATTGCAATCTTGATTATGCTGGGTCAGCCTCGATACGTGGCTATCTGGCCACCCTAGAGACGGGACCTGAACATGTTCTAGGTGCAAGTATCTCTTACTGGTTCCATCACAGAAATTTCTTCCTCGGCTTTTTGAATGTTGTTTGGGGTTTGTCCCTTCTTATGCATTATTTGTATAATAAAGATCTATTTACTATTATGTTTTTATCCTTACCACCTTAACACAATTTTGTTTTTTATTGTTTTCTGTTGGGTCTCCCAGCTGTGGAGCACAAGAGGAGTGGATGAATAATGAAAATAACAGATACAAGGTGTTATAGTGAATACAGTGAATATAGTGGATGATGGGAAGAGTAAGGTGATCTGGAGAGTAAATGGTGGAGACAGGCGTGGAGAGGGAGCACTAGAATGGACTGTGATTGCATAACTCATTTTGGAGTTTATTTAACCATGGGAGGGGGAATTTTCTAAAAAAAGTATGTGGGGGTGATTATACAATAATTCTCCTTGATATGATTGAATGATTGAACTATTGAATTATATGATATATAAATTACTTGTCAATAACACTGTTGGATAAAAGGAGAAAACAAACCCAATGGTTCTGAAGAAAGAAGTTCAAACTGCACTGAATGCAATGGCCAAAACCCAGGCTCCAGGAGGTGAGGGAATACCCATTGACATGTCTCCACAAAGTGATGGAGCACTGGAAGCATTTATTCATCTATGCCAAGGAATCTGGACCACAGCTACTTGGCCAACTACTGAAAGATATCTTTATTTATACCCATTACAAGGAAAAGTGACCCAACAGAATGTACAAATTATGGAACAATATCAGTAATATCACATGCAAGTAAAATGTTTTTAAGACCATCCTTCAACAGTTGCAACAATACATTGACTGGGAGCTGCTAGAGGTCCAGACCAGATTCAAAAGAGAATGTAGACCAAGGGACAACATTGTTGATGTCAGATGGATCTAGCTGAAAGCAGAGAATCTCAGAAACATTTTTACTTGTGTTTTATTGACTATGCAAAGACATTTGTGTGTCGTGTGACTGTGTGGCTTATGAAAAACCATGGAAAGCCTTGGGAAATTCCAGAACACTTAATTGTGCTCATGTAGAACCTGTACATGGATCAAAAGGCAGTTGTGAGAACAGAATAAGGAAATGCTGCATGGTTTAAAATCAAGAAAGGTTTGTATCATTGTAGGATCCTCTCACCACACTTACTCATCTGTACACTAGCAAATAATCAGAGCAGCAGATTATATGAAGAATGTGGCATCAAATTTGGAGGAAGTCTAATTAAAACTCTTCACCATGCAGATAACACAACCTTGCTGCTGCAAGTGAAGGGGACATAAAAAAGCACTTGCTCATGCAGATCAAGGATTTCAGCCTTAAGTGTGAATTATTACTTAATGTAAAGAAAGGCAAAACCCTTACAATTGTACCAATCAGTAATATCATTTCAAATGGAGTAAATATTAAAATTATTGAAGATTTCATCTCGCTTGGATCCATAATCAATGTTCATGGAAGTAGCAGTCAGAAATACACTGTATTAGGTAAATATGTTGCACAAGACCTCTTTAAAGAGCAAGTGCTTTTTTATGTCCCCTTCACTTGCAGCAGCAAGGTTGTGTTATCTGCATGGTGAAGAGTGGCATCAAACTTGATGGCACCTAACACCAAAGTGTTTTGCACAAATATATGAGAGATCATGAGTTCAATCCTTGGAATATAATTTATATTTTCCTTTGCTTTTCTCTTAATCCTCAAGGAGAGAGAGAGAAAAATGTTTTTGTTTGGTTTGGTTTTTTATAATAATAGCATTTATTGAGCACAGTCCCTGAGTAGCAAATGGTTAAGTCGGTTAAGTTTGCACAAATGGTTAACTATTAACTTAAAGGTTGATAGTTCAAATCCACCCAGAAGTGCTAGTGAACAAATGGCCAGACAATTTGCTTGTATAAATACTACAGCCAAGTCAGAGTGATGAGTGGAAGGGTTCATAAGCCTTTAATCATTAAAAATGCCAGATATTTTTCTAAGTCTATCTTACCTAATTTTGTGGGATAGACTATTTCATAATCCTCTTTTACAGATAACATTAATGATATATAAGACAGAAATAAATCAAATCCATTGCTGTTCTTTTACCAAATACCACTGAGGTATTTGGTAAGCCAGCTTTGAATCTAAAGGTTTAACCCTATCTGGCAACTGAATGTTAATATATATAACTCTTATAACAACCCATACATCCATTGTGTCAAGCACATTTGTACATACGCTGCCATCATCCTTTTCAAAACATTTTCTTTCTACTTGTTCATCAGACTGCCATCAAGAAGAAGAATCCACGGAAGTATCTGCGCAGTGTGGGCGACGGAGAAACTGTGGAGTTTCTACTTGAAACTCAAGTTCTACTTGAGCCCTTGGTATCAGCTCCTCATTTCTCCCTCCACCCCACCCCCACCCTCTGTCCCTCATGTACTCTTGATAATTTAAACTATTATTATTTTCATATCTTACACTGACCACTGTCTCTTTTCACCCACATTTCTGTTGTTCATCCCCCTTGTGTGGGGAGGGGGCAGTTTTACGTCAATCATTATGATTGATTCCCCCTTTTCCTCCCCACCTTCCTCCTACCCTATGGTATTGCTACTCCTATTAATATTCCTGAAAAACAATAATGTTATGTTTTTATGGCATAAATTCACCAAGAACAAAGCAGGTTTAAAGGAGCAACAGAACCAAAATTGTAATTGTGAGGCATGAGAGGTGGTATTTGTGATATATATTTTATTTTTTAATTATTTTAATTTAATTTTATGATTATTAACATTATAAATGAAAAAGTATCTACTTCGGTCTGTCTCCCAAATATGAAACCCTAGCCTCACCTCACCTCTACTATCTCTCTTTCCTGTGACTTAGCCTACCTTATGCACCTTATCCTTTTCATTGCTCATGAGATATTAATAAAGGTGTGAAGTCCTTTCATCAGGAATACCAACAATGGTCTCACAGTTCCTTGCTATGACTAAAGTCAATTCATGTAATGAGTTCCATGGACATGGTATTTTTTGGTGTCGAGAGGGTCCAAAGTAAAATGTACGCTATTCTGGCAGGGGTGGGACATCAGAGACTTACAGCAGCAAGGAAGGCAAAGAGCCCAGGTGAAAGCACAAGCAGGAGACACAGCTGCAGACAAGTGAAAGAAGCACCTTGTACGATAATCAATAGGCAACACAAGAGATATCTGTCCACAAAGGCAACTTGCATGCTCTGCCCCAGAAACTTTTGTTGTCAGATAGGGCAGTGTTGGCCTCTCCGATCTGTCAGTTCTTGTAGCAGCCTGCACTAAATACATGCTCTAGGCATATCAGCCTGGTATTTGCTGGTAGAATAAACGGAGAGGTTGGCCTCCTTCCATAGCTGATGGGTACTGAGAAGGAGCTACACAGCAGGGACGACTTCCCTGGGCAGATGGCTTCATGTGGCTGAGTTCTTCCTCAAGAAAACTTACCTGGAGCTAAGGCAGCATGCTAAGCCTAAGCAAGAAAATACTTCATGAAAATCTCCACACTCGCTTCCCTTACCTGTTGACTAAATTCGATGTTAGGTTGAAGCTGTTTCCAAGTGATACTCCAATCAGTCATTGAAATGTGCAGAGAAAAACAAAGTTCTATTGCATTAAGTTACTGAGAAGTTTTAGATTCCCTGCCTGGTACAAATAAGTTACTGAATGGCATAGTTTGTGGTTGAGCAGAAATCTAAAGGGTACGGGTTAATTCTACCCAGAAGTACCATGGAAAAAGGGTTTAGTGATCTGTGTCCATAAAGATTTCAGCCAAGGTAATACTGCAGGCAGCAGAGCCATCTCTGTAGCAACCGCAGAGATTTGGATTGGTTTGCGTGGTGCAGACAAGTGAATGAATGAGTACAATGAGCACTGCAATGAATTGCACAGCCAGCTGCTAACTCAAAGTTGGCATTAAGAATTTGGTTCTGATTCATTACAGCAGCTAGCACTTCCTTACCTTATATGAATACAGTGGCCCACTAAATAAATGAATAAATGAACACAAGCACTCTACTACAAACCAAAGGGAAAACAAGCACAAAGGAGACGCAGTTACCTCCAGGAGATCCCTCTTCAGCTGAAGCTCTCCTTGTGTGGATGAACATAAAGCACCCACGATGATGCTCATGTACTCCTCTGCATTGATGACTGAAAGTTTCTCCAGGATGTTGAGTGAGGCGCTTCGGTAGCTCTCGTCATCTAGGAAGATCTTGATGAAGGGTACCATGCCATGGTCTTTCAGGACAACTGGGAACAGACAAACAATATGGGCTAGAATTATTGGGGGTGGGGTGTCTGGCACCCCTGTTTCAATCACAGAAAGATTCCTCTTAAAATATTCAGTTTGTTTTGTTAAATCCAATGTTTCTCTTATGTCCATTTGTACCTTTTTAAAGTAATATATACACACTATTAAAAGGAGAAGGCAGGAAGAAAAATGGTGGAACCAAGATTTTAAAAGGCAGACAGCTTTCTTTTCCAGTGAGAATTCTAGCTTTGAAACAATATTTCTCTAATTCCTTTACTAAAGAAATATTCAAAACCTCAAACTTTTTTTTAAACTGAAGATATCTCTGTCTTGTGCTTTCTCAGAATTTCCTAAAATGGGGCTATGGAAATTCACTATTAAAATTGTTTGGGAAAGCAAACCACAGGATTTAAGTTAAGAACATATTAACTCCTAGTTGTTTAAGGAGAAAAATTGAATACATTCTCTAGCTTATATATTTTTGTTAAATGTTATCCTAAGAATGTAGTCCCCATAATGGATATTTAGAGTAGAAAAGGGGTTAGGAAGTAAATTGACTCTTCAAGAGGCATTGTGTGGATTTGAGCAGAGAATTCTCGTAAGCCAGATGTTTCTAAATGTGGTCACATACCATCTACATGGGAATCGGGTAGACTTATTTAAAAAGTAGGTTCTTGAGCTCTCCCTTGCTCTCTTACTGCCAGTGAGTCGATTCCTACTCAGTCACTCTATTGGGCAAGGTCAAAACGTCCTTGTGGGTGTGTGAGATTGTAACTCTTAACTTTCTCCTACTGAGAGGCTGGTGATTTGAACCGCTGACCTTGAAGTTAGCAGTCCCACTTTTAACCATCATGCCCCCACAGCTCCTCTCACCTTACCCTACTACTACTTAAATATGGGGAAGCACGGCCAAGAAATCAACAGTTTAACCAACACCTGTGGGGAACCTTTTGTAGATTATTGTTAGAGACCCTTTGCTATCATGAAATAATAAAATATCACATTTTTTATGTAGATAAAGATACCCTAAATTTCTAAGCCTACTAAGGGAATTTTACTAATGTGCCTGTTTCATATGATACTATATATGTGCATATATTATACATATGTATAATCTATGTATGCTTATGTTATAGTATCATGTGTGATTATCTGTGTTTATGTGTGAATGGGCTTCAAAAATTCATGAAAAAAATTCCATTCTCTTTTTGTTCCATTTTCCCATGAACTGTTGGAAGTTCCCCTTTTGTTTGTAAACACAGAACCATAAACACATATGTACATACACACATATCCAGACTCTTTTAAGCCGGTAACCACAGGATCTTGTGAAACTAAAGAAAATTTTTGAATGGATGAATCTCTTTAGTCCATCAATGGCCTGGCTGTGCCTAAAAAGTCTGCTTCTTAAAAATGACTAGCTTTCTTTGCCTGTATTTCACTCTTTGGGATAAAAAGTATCTATTGATGCAACAAAATATTAATAGATCTTTCTTTTAAAAACTATGTGAGGCAGACTCTGTATCTTATAGATTTAGGACATGCTAGATTAAGCATAATATTTTTGTTCTCGAACATAAATTAGCAACCTTAAAAGTAGGGTCAACCAAGTTGAACATCAACCAGCCAATGAACAGACATTTGTCACACTAGTGTTGACGATTCCACAGATCAAGTCTTTGAACACTGGCTTAAATAACCAGGGAATAGCTCACGTCTTATCAAGCAATGACAAGGCATATTTGGTGCTATCTTTACCTGTATTCCGAACAGAATCTTCAAGAAGTGTGGCCACTGTCCTTAGCATCAAGCAAGTGAGTTCTCTTTCTGGATCTTGAATGCCAGTGGTAGACTCTGTGTTTCCTGCCATAATTAATTTACAAATTAATAAAATAAACTATAAAAAGTATATGTGGATGAAATCAATGGCACGAAACAAAGTGTGTATCAATTATTGAATGGAAAACAGATTTTCTCTGCAAAGTTTCACTGAGAATATAATGAACAGTAGTCTTAAATGTGATGTTACTGATTGAATTATGTCCCGTGGAGGCATACTGAAGTCCAGGCACTGTGTCAATCCATCTTGTTGAGGGTCTTTGTGTTAGACTGGGTTGATGAGAAAAACAAATCCAGTGACACTCATATGTGTAAAAAAAGAAAAAAAGATTTATATCAAGGAGTAATTATATATGAAGAAAACATCCCTTCCCAGTCTAACTTCAGTCCATAAATTCAAAACTAGTCCATAAGTCCCCCTTCAGACTCACGCAGTCACATGCAATGATGCAGGATGCAGGAATATCACAGGCCGGTGGGTGGAGTCATGTGGATTCAGGGTGGGTTCTGGAAGCTCTCAGGGTGGCCAGCAAGCAGGAAGGTGAAGAAATAGAGAGAGGCAGGCCTCCCCAGAGGTATATATCTCAGTCAAATCTCCAAGTGAGGTCATCAGGCCAAACTCCAATTCTCTACTTTTATGTATCTTCAAGTTGACATGAATTTATATAACTACTACAGCCTTCCTTTTTTTAGCTGACCTTTATTTATCAAGCGTGATGTCTTTTAATTTTATTTTCTCATGAAATATTTGAAACTCCCCTCAACAAGGGAATAGTGTCTCCTGATAACATGTCCAAGTACATGAGTGAGGCTGTCTTGTCATCCTTATTTATAAGGAGCATTCAGGCTGTACCTTTTCCAAGACAGATTTGTTTGTTCTTTTGGCAGTATGTGGTACTTTCAATATTCTTGACTAGCACTCTAACTCAAATATACGGATTATTCTTCAGTCTTCCTTATTCAATGTTCAACTTTCATATGCATATGAGGCTACTTAAATATTTAAAATACCATAGCTTGGGCCCACCTTAGGCCTCAAAGTATTGCGCTCAAATACTTTAAAGAGATCTTGTGCAGCAGATTTATCCAATGGAATGCATACCTTGGTTTATTTTTTTTTTAATTTAATTTAATTTTTTTTTATAGTTTGATTTCTTGTGAGCTGGGTGGTCTAAGGATTCTGGGAACTCCCTCTCTTCCTCCCTGGTGGCAGGACACATTCTCTCTCTCCTTCGCATTTCTGTTGACAAGACACATGGAGCCACGCTGATGGCAGCCGAGCCCTACAGGCCCACAGGACTTTCCACCCACCAGCCTGTGATCTTCCTGCATTCAGCATTAATGCATGTGCTGTGTGAATCTGAAGTGGAATTCATGGGCTAATATCAGACTAATGGGCTAATATCAGACTTATGGACTTGATGTGGATGGTACTGGGATGTTTTATTGATGCATAATTACTTCTTGATATAAAGTTCTTTCTTACATATGTATGAGTGCCTCTGGATTTGTATCTCTGTCAACTTGGACTAACACAGATGGGAAGCCTCTTCCACTTCCGTTGCAATTTTATTTCTGTGTATTCCTTCTAGAGAAGTCCATATGGATAGTTTCCTTTTGTGTTGTTGGGGGAAAAAAGTCTTTGCAATGAAAAAGTCATTGGCCTTGCAAAAGTCCATCATTCAATCTCCAACTCTGTTTCCATCATGAAGGTCATATTTTCTTTTATTTTTATTCTACATAACATTTTTTTAAATTTATTTTTTAAAATCATTTTATTAGGGGCTCATACAACTCTTATCACAATCCATGCACACATCAATTATGTAAAGCGCATCTGTACATTCATTGCCCTCATCATTCTCAAAACATTTTCTCTCCACTTAAACCCCCGGCATTAGGTCCTCATTTTACCCCTCTCTCCCCGCTCCCCCCTCCCTCATGAGCCCTTGATAGTTTATACATTGTTATTTAGTCATATCTTGCCCTGTCCGACGTCTCCCTTCACCCACTTTTTGGTTGTCCGTCCCCCAGAGAGGAGGTCACATATTGTTCCTTGTAATCGGTTCCCTCTTTCCTACCCACTCTCCCTCTACCCTCCCTGTTTCGCCACTCACACCACTGGTCCTATAGGGCTCATCCGCCCTGGATTCCCTGTATTTCCAGTTCCTATCTGTACCAGTGTACATCCTCTGGTCTAGCCAGACTTGCAAGGTCGAATTCGAGTCATGGTAGTGGGAGCGGGGAGGAAACATTTAGAACTAGAGGAAAGTTGTATTTTTCATCGTTGTCTATGACCTTTCTATGACTACTGTTCCTTCCTTTTTGTTTCTAACTCTTGCATTCAAATCGCCAATAATTATCCATGCATCTTGATTGCATGATTGATCAATTTCAGACAGAAAAATTGGTAAAATTCCTCAATTTCTTCATCATTAACTTTGATGATTGGTGCATAAATTTGAATGATAATTGTGTTGACTTGATTTCTTTATACATAGATTGATAATATCCTATCACTGACAGCATTGTACTTCAAAATAGATCTTTTAATGTCCTTTTTGATGATGAATGTAACACCTGGTATAGTAAACCATGACTGCCTAATTCAAAATAGCCAATACCAATCCAGTTCAGTTCACTAATTTCTAGGATATTGATATGAATGAGTTACATTTTATTTTTGATGAATTCCAATTTTGCTATATTCATACTTCACACATTCCAAGTTGCAAGTACTAACAGACAAACATCTTTTTCATCTGTTCCTTCTCATTTTGAATCACGCCCAAGCAGCAAGTGGAGGTTCTAAAGGCTTGACTCCAACCAGGTCATTGTGATCAATTCTACTTTGAGAAGACAATTTTCCTGGTCTTATTCTGAGTGCTTTCAACTTTTAGGGGCTTATCTTCTAATACTATCTTTGACCATGTTCAGCTGCTATTTTTAGTACCTGACAAAGTTCCACTGCTATACAGATGGTTTACAGTGGTTTAGGTTTTAGAAGTGGACAGCCTATTTCTTCTTCGTAGACTGTTCTTGGTTGGAAGCACTACTGAAACCTGGTTACCCTGGTTGACTCTGCTAGTATTTGAAATACCAATGATGTAGCATCCAGCATTAGAGCAACACACAACACACCAAAGCATGCCACGGTGAGAGCCAAATGGTAAGCATGAAACAGTGTCCCTTAAAGCCTTGGAAGAAATCAGCACAATCAATACCCTGAGGTCAGCTTCCCAGTCTCCAGAATCCTGACACAATAAATTTTTGTTTTTAAAAATCACCCCACTTAAGAGTATTTTGTTACAGTACTCCTAGGAATGTAATATGCATAGTTTGATTAAAATTTTCTGACTTAATCGACTTTTAATTCTTGTAGGGAAACATAAAGATAATGCTTCAAATATTTGGGAGTGTGCAGCCCAATTCACAAGATGAAACCTTTAACAATTTCTGCACCAATCGCAATGATTGACATACAATCCCCACCCCCACCCCCACCCCTTCCCAGGCTGACAAACAACAGAAATATGAGTGAAGGGAGACACCAGGCAGTGTAAGATAAGAAAATAAAAATAATTTATCATTTATCAAGGGTTCATGATGGTGAGAGGGTTGGGGGTGGTGGGAACAAAAAGAGGAACTGATACCAAGGGCTCAAGTAGAAAGAAAATGTTTTGAAAAGGATGATGGCAACATATGTACAAGTGTGTTTGACACAATGGATGTATGGATTGTTATAAGAGCTGTAAGAGCCCCCAGTAAAATTATTTTTTAAATTTCTGCAGCTGTGTTTCTCCAACATGAACATATAAAAATTCCATAGAGCACTTATTATTAGAACCCAGATTCCTGGGTCACATTTCTGAAGTTTTAACTTAGCTGGTCTGATATAGGTTTCAAGAATTTCTTTTTAACTAGCTTGGGATAGTGTGGCTCATGAGATCATGCTTTGAGCACCACAATTTTTGCATGAAGTCCAAGGTCCTTGATTTTCCTTAGCCACTTTTATAAGTTGCTACTCACACTTGGTGTCATAGTGGTTATATGTTGGGCTGCTAACTTCAAGGTCAGCAGATCAAAATCATCTCAAGAGAACAAACTGGATTTCTACTCCTTTAAAGAGTTACAGTCTTGGAAACCCACAGGGGTAGTTCCACCCTATCCTATAGGTGGTCACTGTAAGTCAGAATTGACTCAAAGGAAATGAGTTTTGTTTTTTATTCACACTTGGAGTGGCATAGAATGCTGTTACATTGTGAAGATTGTATTCAATGACATAAAACAAAACGTGTATGAATTATTGAATGAAAAACTGATCTGCTCTGTAACCCCTCACTTATAAAACAGTGAAATTAGTTCACAACACATGAAATCCAGGAACAGAAATGGGAGTAAAAATATCAGGAGGGTAGGGGGAAGGTGGGGAAAGAAGGTTAGGAAGGGGGAACTGATCACAATGATTGACACATAACCACCTCCACCCACCCAGGGGGATGAACAACAGAAACCGTGGGGGAAGGGAGACAGCAGTAGGTGTAAGACATGAAAATCATAATAAATTATAAATAATCAAGGCATCACAAGGGTATGGGGGAGAGGGAGGGAAAAAAGAGAAGCTTATACCAAGGGCTCAAATAAAAAGCAAATGTTTAGAAAATAAGGATGGCAATGTATGTATAAATATGCTTGATAAAATTGATGTATAGATCGTTATAAAAGCTGTAAGAGCCCCAGTAAAATGATCTTTTAACTAAAATAAATAATAATAAGTTCAAGTCTTAAAATGTTCATAAATTTGGGATTGGATTCAAAAGCAAGTCAATGTTAGGCTGTGTTACGGATTGAATTATGCAGCACCCCCTCGTCACCATGTGATGTAAACCATAACCTCAATGCCTATGGTTTTAATCCCAATTCGAAATGGGTGGTCTTTGTTATGTCGATAGGGCTTGATTGAAAGATCAGTAGGAAGATCTTGAATCAATCTCTTGAAATATAAAGGAGATTAGACAATTGAGTAGAGCAGAGGTGGGAGAAGAGAGATGCCCAATCACATAAAGACAGACCTAGACCTGACTAACACTGACCCCAAGCCAGTCACCCACCCTCATTACACTCCTTAGCCACACCTGATTTCCTCAGGATCTTGGCTCTCTTCCGCAGCTGGGCTAGCAGCAGGGCCAGGAGCCCCGAGTCCCGGAATATGTCCGTGAAGAATGGGTCTCTGCCTGCCATTCTCTGGATGCTCTGCAGGGCCACGAGGGTGCAGGGCAGCTCCAGGTCCTCCTTGATCAGGCACTGAACCTTCCACAGGATTTCATGGGGCACATAGTTTAGCTCAAATACCAGCACCTCCAGCAACTGGAAGAACTGTGTCTGCACTGGGACTGACTTAAGGTGCAAGAGCTCCACAAACTGAGACATAGGCTGCAGGCTCCACTCCAGGAGGAAGAAGTTGCGTGCGTTCCAGGTCCACATGGTTCTGATGGCCGATAAGACTTGTAAGCAGAGAAGAGTGTCACTGGACTTATGGAAGGTGTTCTGCAGGACTTGGAAGGCCTGAAGATTCTTAATGGTTGTTCCTGAAGATTACAAAAAAAAAAAAATCCTGGAGGTAATATTTTCTCCCCATTTAATTACATTAGAAATTTCTGCATTTTAGCCTCTGGGAATAAATAAGTATTAAAAGAGTAAACTGCCTAGGGTGTGGGTAAGCCTAAATCTACATTGTCCAAAATGTACATGTCTAATGAAGCATTTGAAATGAGATGGGTTGTGAATATAAAGTTCACACTGAATTTGAAGTCTTAGCACACACATACACTGTGTGTGTGTGTGTATACTCACACACACACACATGCAAGGGGGTACCCCCCAAAATGGATTTTTTTTCAAAGTGTGTAGGTAAAAATTTTTATGAAACAGCCTTATTATCACCTTCAAAGTCCTCTGCAGTGCACTTACTGCATTTGCCAAATCTGCAATTCCATTCCTGGAAGCATGTTCAAACTCGTCTGGATGACTGAAGGCACAGCCCTCCGTTTTTATTCACCTCTTCTTCGTCCTCAAATCGCTGTGCTTTCACACCCCTCTTCCTTTGCCGAAACAAAAGCAAGTCTCACAGAGCCAGGTCAGGTGAGTAAGATGCATGAGGCAAGAGAGGTATGCTGGGTTTTGCCCAAAACCAAGATGGCTACATGAGCAGGTGCATGGTCGTGGTGGCAAAACCAGTCCCCCCATCTGCCACAAATTAGGCCTTTTTTCTGCACACTGTTACTCAATCTTTTCAGAATCTCTAAATAGAAAGCTTGATTAACAGTCTGACCTGCTGGAACAACTCCAAACACCCCTCACATCAGCGGAGCTTTATTCCGTTGGTTGGTTGTGTGTGTGTGTGTGTGTGTGTGTGTGTGTGTGTGTGTGTGTGTACACGCGTGAGCGCGCAGGCACCCCTCATAATATATTCTGTCACTGCCATCAAGTCAAATCTGACTCAGCGACTCTCTAGGCGAGGGTGGAACAGCCGCTGTGAGTTCCTGAGTCTTTAACTGTTTGTGGCAGCAGAACGTCTCTTCTTTCTCCCTCAGAGACGCCAGTGGTTTCAAACTGAAAACCTTGCAGATTGCAACCCAATTTGTACCCACCAGCCACCCATGTATACATGGCAGAGTCGCTGCCACCGGGCTGCAGTCTGCAAGATCCGCGGTTTAAAACCACCAACTGCTCTGAAGGAGAAAGACGGAGCTTTCTACTGTCATAAACAGTTACAGTCTCAGAAACTCACAGGGGAAGTGCTACTTGTCCTATAGGGTCACTCACTATGAGTCAGCATTGCCTCGATGGCAGTGGGGTTGGTTGTTGCTGGGTTTTTGGGGGGTTTTTTGGTGGTGTAAATGATTAATATTTTCATCTACCAACCAAAAGTTGTAAGTTCAAGTCAATCCAGAGGAACCTTGGAAGAAAGGCCTAAAAAAAGTAACCATCGAAAACCCTATAGAGCACTATTCTATTATGATAGATAAGAGGTCACCATAAGTTTCACACACACACACACACACACACACACACACACACACACAGGGTTTCCCAGACTATAAGAAGCAAATTGCCTCATCTTTTTCTTTTCTCATTTCCCCGACTTTATTCAATGGCACATTCACAGCAGGGGTGGGGTAGACACAAGGTGGGGCCTGATCTGTCCTGGAGCCCTGGGGGCACCACACACCATGCACTTGGTGGCCCCAGCAGAAGCCTGTGTACTGGGGAGAGGCAGTGAGTGCCTGGGTCCCCCTAGCCCAGGCCCACAATGGAAAGGGCTAATATGGGGTGGAGGTGGAGGGCGGACAGGGATCGCCTCATCTTTCCTCCAGGGAGCAGCTGGTGGTTTCAACCACCAAACTTGTGATTAGCAGGTCAGCATCCAGACCACTGCATCACACAGTGGCTGCAACAATGGGCATACAAATAATAACGATCATGAGGATGGCTGTGCATAGGGTCACGACAAGTCAAAGCTGACCTAATGTCACCTACAACAACAATAATAATGTATTTCCTTTTTCTATTTTTAGTATGTCTACTAGAATACTTCGTTATATTTGCACATGGTGGCGGTGGGAGAAGTGGGGAATCAAAGAGTTACTCCCATTTAGTCCCCCAGCAACTAACCCACCAACCAATAAATAAAAACCACCCCAAACACAGATTGGGATCTCTGACCTCTACATAGAAGATGAAGTGTCAGAAAGTCACGGTGAGTCCAGAAGTAGGAGAGGGAAGATGGGATGGCACACAATCTGAGATAACCTACGCATAAACATCAAGATCATTTGCTCATTGCAGCCATTTTGAGATGGGGCTGGGCAACACCCCAACAGAAAATGAAGAAAAATATCTAAGCAGTAACCCAATTTTAAAAGGCAGGACAAATTGGCTGGGAGAGCCCACAGCCTCAAAATTGGGAAATGTAAAAGGGGACTGTGATATTGCTAACATGCGAATAGGGAGTGCTATTGTAACAGAGAGAGTAGCTCACTGAGTTACAAGGCTTGGGCACAAGGACTGGGAGGAACACCAAGGGCAACAGATTAAGGGGAATAATTCAGACCAATGAACCATGCAGAGGGAAATCTCTAGCTACTTGCACACAGCAGGATGCTATGGGAGAGACTATACAGGGGCACATAGAGACCCTTGGCCATTTTTAGCATAGGAAAGTCTAGCCTCACTGTTTACATCAGCATCTGCATTCAGTCTAACACCATCAACACCACTGGCCCACCCCCGCCCTCTTCAGAGCACATGTATTTAATTACAGATCCCCTGAGTTCATACTGTAGAGATCCTAAGGCTAGTGGTGCCCTCTATTGGACATTAGAAAAAGATAGCAAAGCCATAGCTGCTAGGTTGATTCTGATCCCTAGAGACCCAGTGTAGTGGAATGTACCTGCCCCACCAGCTCCCCATAGCTGTGTATCTTTGTAGAGGCGAATGGTACATTTTTCTCCCATGCAACCGCTGTTAAGTGTGGGCCTCAGCTTTTTAGCTGGACACTTGGCTACTGCATCCCCAGAGCACCCAATCAGAAAAAAGTTACCACAAAAATCAAAATTAAATATGTAAACCTAAAATGTAATAACAGCAAAATGGCCCAATCTCCACAAAAAAATAGTAAAAACATACAGAATTAAAAGAAAAAAAGACCAGTAAAAAGTAAAACATGAAGAAGATGAAATTTCTCCTATGAAATCCAGGCTCATACAAATAATCAATAATTTCCTTGCCATGGTACTAAAAATGTTAAATAAGACACACAGTACATAGAAAAACAAACTATCAGAGATGAGTAAATAGAGGGGAAAATAAGAGACTTAACAAGAAATTTTAAAATAAAAGGGAAAAAAGAGAATTATGTAGCAACAATGAAAAATACAACTTTCCTCTAGTTCCTAAATGCTTCCTCCCACCCCCCACCCCACACCCACCCACTATCATGATCCGAATTCGACCTTGCAAGTCTGGCTAGACCAGAAGATATACACTGGTACAGATAGGAACTGGAAATACAGAGAATGCAGGGCAGATGATCCCTTCCAGGACCAGTGGTGTGAGTGGCAATACTGGGAGGGTAGAGGGAGAGTGGGTTGGAAAGAGGGAACCGATTACAAGGATCTACGTGTGACCTCCTCCCTGGGGGATGGACAACAGAAAAGTGGGTGAAGGTAGATGTCGGACAGTGTAAGATACGACAAAATAATTTATAATTTATCAAGGGTTCATGAGGTAGGAAGGAGCGGGGAGGGAGGGGAAAAATGAGGACCTGATGTCAGGGGCTTAAGTGGAGAGCAAATGTTTTGAGAATGATGAGGGCAATGAATGTACAAATGTGCTTTACACAATTGATGTATGTATGGATTGTGATAAGAGTTGTATGAGCCCCTAATAAAATGATTTTTTTTAAAGGCAAGAGAAACAGACAGAAGATAGAATAAATTAGAAGACAAGATATCTAAATCTCTCATTAAAAAGAGAGAAGAGCAAACTAACAAACCCAGAAGGGAAGATGAGATTTAATTAAGAAATCTCGAGAGAAGCCCCCAAGATGGAATCCTGGTAGATTTACTCACCCGGAGCTTCTGCTGCCAGACCAGAAAATTAAGAGGAGAGGGAAAGAGAGACCAGGCTTCAACCCGATGCACCAAGACATGAATACAACATACCGGCATGTACCAGGGAACCATAGAAAGGTCTGTGGGCCAGCCCCAATCCCAACTATGTGGCTGACCTCCCCACTCCCCGAGAAGAATGCACCTCAGAGGACAGCACTGGAGGTACAGCTTGCGGAGACGGGCACATGTGATTAGAGCACAGGAGAAAGAAAGACAGATGCAGAGTGAGGGGAGCACATCCTGGCCACCGAGCCCAGAGGATGATGTTCCTGCTCAGAGCAGACAGTGCACAGAGAGGACCACAGGGCCAGCCCCAGTATGAGACATGAATCCCTCACTGAACCATAGCCCTACAGGGACAACACTGGAGACACAGTGCAGGAATTGTGCCTGATCTGACCCTACCACACTGGGGCAAAACACCAAGGGCGTGCACCAGAACAGCAAGGGGAGCAAAGTGATGAAATACTGGGGAATACCAAAAATAGACTTTGGAGACAGAGTGTGGCACCCCACCAGACTCCACTGGAAAACACCCCTAAAGGTTGAAAAACAGACCTGGAACTATTTATAGGCTTTTCCTTTTTTGACATTAGCTTTCTTTTTGTTGTTATTTTGGTTTTTGTTGTTGTTGTTTTGTTGGTTTTGTCTTCTTTTGTTGTTTTGTTTAGCTGTGCCTGGTTTTTTCACTTATTGGTGTCTCTGCATGTCTATCTAGATAAGATAGGTAGGATATACAATTCAGAAAAACAAACAAACAAAGGAACCGACAGTTCCGGGAGTACACAGGAGAAGGCGAGGTGGGAGAAATGAAGGGGGAGTGTCAACCAACCCAGGAGCAAGAGAAGAAGGGAACTAAAATCAATGGAGAGAAGGGTGTAGTATCCCTAGTGGGGCTTAACCAAGGGCAATGT